GTGTGTGTGTGTGTGTGTGTGTGTGTGTGTGTGTGTGTGTGTGTGTGTGTGTGTGTGTGTGTGTGTGTGTGTGTGTGTGTGTGTGTGTGTGCGATATTGTTTGGGTGTGCGTGTGTGCGAGCGTGTGTGTGAGCGTGTGTGTGTGTGTGTGCGCGTGCTTGTCTGGGTGTGCATGTGTCTTTTCCGTCTGTATGTCCTTCAAATTTCACGTCGTGGCAAAGTCCACAACTGAGGTTTTCCATGATATTGTGTCCTTCTTCTGACAGACGTAACAAACAGAGAAGAACAAGCAGCATGTCTTTGTCGGCAGAAGAGGTGCAGTCAGCTCTCTCTCAGGTGATGAAATATGCAACGAAGGGTGTTCACTATGATAGCAACATGGAGTTAGAGATGTTGAAGGAAAGAGTGTCTGCGTACTTCAGTGTCAAGTTGGACATCCATAGAACGATTGCGGCAAATGGAGACAAGGCAACTACAGCACTACATCTTTTGGACCGCCTGAAGCGAACAAGAGCAGCGCGTAGTGGAAGTCAGACAGAGGAGTCAGCGTACAACCTGAATGGAATCGTGGACTAGATGTGTGAGGATACAGACATTGACAAGTCCATGCAGCAGAAAGGAGGTGTTTACGGGCCAGCGAATTCAAGAAATTAATGAAATTCCAGGCGAGAAGGGCAGGAATGGTCCAAGGGGGGACGGAGGATGACATGAAGCTGAACGGAGCAGAAATTTTATCGTTAACAAGGATAAGAGACATACCACAAGCAACCCCAAAAGACTTTCATGATCTTCCAACGATAGTTGCAGATGGTGTAGAGTACTTTCTACTGGACCAAATGGTGGATTTCATGAAGAAATCTTCCAAGGACAAAAATGTCATCCACGAGGTGTTACACGACGTGACAGAGCAAACAATTGAAGGACACGACGTTGTGGAATACAGCAAGGACAATGAGGAGGACGAGTTGGTGATGGGGACACCATTGTGTGAAGGAACAATAATGGCGGCTTTGCAACAGCTTGGACAGACGGTTTCTGAAGTGGAGAGACAAAGGAAGAGGACAAAAGTATGGACAATGGTGGCTACACACGCTTTGCATCCACCTCATGGGACAACACAAGGGACTGTGACATCTGCACACATAGAGATGTCGATCTGCGCAGTAAATCAATCAGTGATAATTTCAACTCTAGGAGAGGTTGGCGCAGAGGGCATAATCACAGGCTGGTCATTACGAGAGGGAGTGCGTTCACGTCGGGGGGAGCAAGTGTTTGCAACTGAAGTTGCACAAAACATCACTGATGAAGAGGATTCTCAAGAAGCCGAAGACGAAGATGCAAACAAATCGTCTACAAATTTGGAAGTGAGTGGGAATGATGTAGCGGCGATGAGGATGGCGAGAAATATGATCCTTATTGGGACATAGAGGCAAGTGGCATTCAAGTGACAAAAGGATGGTATCATGCAATATTGAGGTTGGCACGTGTGTTTGCAGATCCCCATCCATTGATACGGGTCGTGGAGAAGGATACAACACCAGATGGCGGACTCCAATGTGCGGGGGTTGTAGCTCTGATGAAAGCATGCGAGTATGGCAAACGATGGCCACGTGTGGGGAAATCTTGGTTTGTGCTTGTAAACAGACAAGTTGTGTTGTCGACGTCTATGTCATGGGGAGAGAACCTCAGTTGCCTTATACACGGAGCAGTGGCAACTGCGTGTGGTGCTACATTACATCCTGCAATGTCAACAACCCTATCCATTATTCATGGGCAACCTCGCCCTGACATTGCACGCATCACACACACTATCGTAGAATCTGTTGTAGAGACAGACAAGAAGGCACCACCACCGACTAAGCGCATCAAATATGAGTAGTATGAGTCTAAGAGAGAGAGCCGCAGACCAGTCGCTTTGTGTCATGGTGAGAGACTCATGTCAAACATTATCGTTAGCACATGCATTGTTTATAATTAACAGACAAACATTGTTCTCTCTCTTTCTCTCTCTCTCTCTCTCTCTCTCTCTCTCTCTCTCTCTCTCTCTCTCTCTCTCTTTGTGTGTGTGTGTGTGTGTGTGTGTGTGTGTGTGTGCGCACGCGCGTGTGAGAGTAACAGTGTACATCTACGAAAAATGCAATGAGAAGGAACGAAAAAAAAAAAAAAAAAGGGTTCCACGACTGTCAAGTGAAGCAATAAAACAAAAGATGAATTGAGCGAATCTTGAGCACATTTTCATGATCAGCATATGAATGAATCCTGCGTGAATGCAGAAACGGTCATTAAAACGTAAAATTGAAAGAGAATAACACTGAACATGTTAGTGGTGAAGTTGATATGAACCGAGGGGTGCTCCGGCTTCCGACACGTCGCGATGACTAGCTGCGGTCATGTTGTCTGCGAGGGCTGGTGTCGGCATGTTGTCCATGAGAAGTGGTTTATGTGTTAAAGTCGGTTCACTAGTGGCGGTCAAGTGTTATGCCTTACGGTTTTGTGTGTGTACAAATGACACACACTAGCCAATCGTTCCCGATGGGGTCTTCACGTCTCCGATGGTGCGTTGATGCCGACTGTTTGTCAGTTGTTCGCTGGGCTTGTTCTGATCAGCAATGATGTATGTGTTAAAGGCGGTTTACTAGTGGGGGCCAAGTGTTGTGCCTTACGGTTTTGTGTGTGTACAAATGACACCCACTAGTGAACCGTCCCCAATGTTGTCCCCACGTTCCCGATACTGCGTTGATACCGACTGTTTGTCAGCTGTTCGTTGGGCTTGTTCCGATCACTAGTGGGGGCCAAGTGTTGTGCCTCACGGTTTTGTGTGTGGACAAATGACACCCACTAGCAGGGTTGTCGAGCCCCGGCCCCGGGGCCCCGGCGGGGTTCTGGGATTCCGGGGGTGGGCACCCCCAACCCCGGCTCCAGACCCCCCCGCAAAAAAAAAAAAATTCAAAAAAAAAAAATAAAAATAGTGGGGGGTGCGCAGCGAAAGCGCGCATCACATGGGCTAAACCCCAAAAATGGGGTTTTATGCCCCACCCCGGACCCCCCCCGGGGCCACACCCACCACTCGTGGGACCGGGGTAGCTGC